TATATAAATATACTTATATATGTACAGTATATGTATTCTATCCGTTACCCTAGCATCCCATAACACAAGCCTTACAGTGCTTACTTTGGGGCTAGGCTAATTAGTGTGTATTTAAAAAAAAACAAACATCAGCCCCCAATATACGAATATACACTACCATGTAAACACTTACACACTGAAATGAACACTTTACAACAAAATAATATTAATGAGGCGATTTTTTTTTAAATACAAACCTAGTATATAATAATCATGTTAATTGACATATTATTTTATATTTATTGAAATTTTTATTGACATATTTATTAATTTTAATTACTGACAAATTTAATTTATTTTTATAAATGAATTTCCATTTCTATTATATTTCTACTGTTAAAAAGATCATTTGAGTAAGTTATATTGTTATACTAATGGAATCAGATGACATTTATGCATGATTTGAGATATAAAGTGGTTTAATACAAATTGGGTTCCTTATAGACATAACTGTTTATTAATTAAATTCTTTTGTAATTTTTATCTTTAACTGCACTGTATATTGCGATACCCTGACAGGGTTCATGTTAAGTACTATAAGCATTTTGTAACCATCTATGTAATCACATGAGTGCAATAAATTGAATTGAATTGAATTGAACACTTGCCTACGTTTCACTAATCCAATTCAGATGCTGATTATGAAGATAGTCGGTATAGCAGTGTCATGTACTATAACTTAGAATTTATATAACATCAAGTTTACTTTTGTAAATGAAAGCATCCTCACCTTGTTGGTCTACAAGGTATTTCCTTACGCCTCTTTGGGCCCCAAATTGACGAACGGAGGGAACAATGAGCGGGCAAAGCATTCCATTTGCAGATATTGAGGGAAAGAAGCCATTTTTTTGACCATTCGCTAGCGGGGTTGCGTTCCAAACCTACGCTCGGAATGCAACTTTTCACTCTGACGTTTCAGCTTTTGTCAGTTGTAGTTTTGAATGTAACTCTGTGTATTTTGCGTGTAATATTCAGAATATATAATTATAGAATATATAATTATAATAATTCAGAAACAAAGTTTTGTGTATGTGTTTTTGTTGAATGTTTTCAAAAAACTTTTGCTGGAGACATATTCCCGGCTTCACAATACTTACAATATAATATGTACTAAGATTTGTAATATTTTATATACACGCAAGCAAAGTCGCTTGCTAAAGCTTGGTATTTTTTGACGCGCCATAAAAGTATTATTGAACTTCAAAACCGTTGGAATATATTTTCGACTGGCTCTGACCTCTGCCTTGTGTAGCCATTAACATACTATGTGTATTGTATATATTATATATATGTTTGTATTAAACACGAAGATCCTTTATTAATAGCATTCAACCGGTATTCTCGGCGATTGTCGAAATTTCCGTGACGTCAATGAAAGATAAATACCTACGTCGTTTGCGATTGCAGACGCTGAGCAACTTGCTCAATAGCCGAATATCGGATGGGTGGGTGTTTTTTTCATCTTGAGAGTGTAATTATATGCTGTACTAGCGGCTGCCCTCGCTTCGCTTCGGTGTAGAGCTGAAGTGTAGACTAAAGTTTTTGTTCTCAGGCTTGTATTATACACAATGATATTCATCTATGATTCTTCTTATACCTGCATGCAAAGTTCAGCCCGATCGGTTTAAAATTGACAAAGTTTCATACAAATTTTCATTCCCTATTTTATCCCCTTGGGGGTAGAATTGATCAAAATCCTTTCTTAGCGGATGCCTACGTCATAACATCTACCTGCATGCCAAATTTCAGCCCGATACGTCCAGTGGTTTGGGCTGTGCGTTGATAGATCACTATGTCAGTCAGTCACCTTTGAGTTTTATATACATATATAGATTTCGTTAGCAACATCACTGACGCGGCCAGGAAGGTAGTACGCATACACAGCTTTCCCGTCTGGCGAATTGGACATACAATTTTTTCCAAACAATGTATGTGTGCAGCATTTGGCGGTGTATTGCGCAATTGTTTATGTGCAAGTGTCGTAATTACAGTTTTGTTTTTTCACGCACTGAATTTGTGTGCCATATTGATATACATAAAACGCCGCCACCGGTATATTTCTTGTAGTTTTCATACATTTTATATGAACTCGCCACACACGGTACGCCGGTGGCCGCCACACGCTACAAATCGTCGTTGCTCGCTTCTTGTGGCCCGCACCGGCCACTTAATGCGCCGATACAAAACGCCGCCACACGTCACTCGCGCGATTCCCCACCCCTCTCTCCCTTACCTTAGTCGGCCGCTGTCGCGCGTTTCAGCCAATTTAGTAGCCTCTTCTAGCTTCTCGTGGCGGCGTTTGTGGCTGTGGCGTGTGGCCCGTGCGCGGCGACACTAGGAGGCTTTGAGACAAGATGGGATGATGACATTCGTAGGCTGGCTGGAGGGGGCTGGATGAGAGTGGCAGAAAATCGGGAGCAGTGGCGTGCATTAGGGGAGACCTATGTCCAGCAGTGGATAAACATGGGTCGATGATGATGATGATACGACTTTGGCTATTATTCTTGATCTGAGATTTAAATTTGGTCAGTGGAAGCTCAATCAGTACCCTCATTCAGTGTCCTCTATATAAAAGACATCAACGGGTGCCTCATACAAAGATACTTACTGGTAAATTACAATATGTGATTATATACATCGTAGTATGATTCGATAATACGAATTTTCCCGATAGTCCTAGGAATATTGCGATGGCGTGAATAAGTTTAGTCAATGGCGATGACATTTCTCAATTTTACTAATATAGTCTAGGATTTTTGCGAAAACGCAAGTCGCCTACCGAAGCGAAAAGAATCGTTGGGTTATTATAAATGTGCTTGGATTTTTGGGTTCGTGGGTTCACACTAGGTTGGGTTAGTGGTGTGACCTTGACGCACGAGCCGAGCGAGCGTAGCGAGCGTACAGCGGGAGATGCCAGCGTAGCGCCAGAAAAAAAATCGTTAACAGTAAGATTGAGCAATGTCGTCGCCATTGTGCAATTACCTGCATTATCGCAAATTACCTTCGATTTACGCGAAAATTCGATTTACTAAATAATTTTACTATAACCCATGTTATGGGCCAAGTGATTAATGCGGGAAGTATTCATAATGCCAGGGCAGTATGAATAATGCCCAGCCATATCGGGCCAAGTGATTAATTACAATCTAAACTCACCTATTTAACACATTGCCCGGCCATTATTAATAATGCCGGACGGCTCGTGGTCCATGTAATAAGTCATTGTTTGAGATAGCTTGAATTTATCGCTTGGACCGGGCAGTATAAATAAATTCAAAACGTTGGTCCTATTGTCAAAATGACAGATGTCTCGCCATTTATACGCGAAGAAAAGCTATTTAAGCGCAATTTGATTTTGACTTAATAGTAGATCGTAGAATTTAGTAATAAAACAAAATAATTGTAAAATAATAATGCGAGTGACAAGAATATCCACTCATACGAAGCCCTTAAGATGTTATCCTTATTGTCAAGGCAATACTCATGTCGTGTTAAGGTGAACTGGTAAAATACTGGCAATTGTACCAACTTCCTTGTACATTGTGACTCCATCGAAAGATCTTGACCTTACGTACTGACGGTCAATACATTTATTCTTAATCACAAATATAATGACTCGCAATAATACGCGAAGGTAAAATGTTGTGCTACTTTTTATGCCGTCACTATTAAGTGATGCGTATTCGTGATCTCTATTCGTGTTAGCTATTCGTGTTCGCTGTTCGTGTTCGCTATTCGTGTTCGCTATTCGTGTTCGCTGTTCGTGTTCGCTATTCGTGTTTGCTGTTCGTGTTCGCTATACGTGTTTGCTATTCGTAAAATTGACAACAGTGTTTTCATTCCTTTTAGAGCATGATAAGGACATACTGCTGTCAAAATGACAAATGACAAATAGCATATACGAAAAGCCAAGTGAAATTTTAGCATTACAGGCATAGAGCAACACGGACGGGACCCGGAAGGGAGTAGCCAGGGCGTTTGTTAATGAGACTATTTCCACCCGGGTCTAGGTGCGGTTTTAAATCGTGCCAGGGTGTGATGGTGTCGTTGGTTCTTGCTTAGGGTACTGATTTTTAGTTCTTGTCACGTCCGTTATGGCGCTGCTGTTCAAGATTCCTTACAAAATTTGACATTGACATTTCGCACTCGCAAACGTAACGAATTCGATATTGGTTCGTGCTGCAGGGTACAGTTGTGTGTTTGGTCATGTTTTGAGTGTCTCATCATCATCATCATCAGCCTATTAATGTCTCCACTGCTGGGGCACAGGCCTTCCCTATGGATGGAATAGGGAGTTTGGGCCATGACCCACCACGCGAGCCCAATGCGGATTGGTGGGTGCTAACGACTGCAGATGCAGCCGGGACCAACGGCTTAACGTGCCTTCCGAAGCACGAAGGAGATTGTAATTTTTAGTCACCCATCCAATGACCGACCACTGCGAAAGTTGCTTAAGTTCAACGATCGCAGCCGAACGCGCTAACCACTTGCGCCATCGAGCTCCTCAACTTAAATAAATGAAAAGCAGAACTTGTGAAACGACTGATAGAGGAGATGCAATAATGTAGCTTTTCCTTTCATAAAAGACGACGACATCTAGATTTTTAATTTCGTTTTTTTATAGCCAGGTAGGCAAATGACTCTACCCCACCTGATGTTAAGTGGTGATAAAGTCCAAACGCGAAAAAAGCTGGTACAGCAGTTATAAACTGCCACACCAACCATCCACACCTTGCGGGCCTGCAAAAATGCTTCTTCACGCCTCTCTCAAAGGACCCCAGATTGTAGGAAGGAGGGAACACGTGCGCGGGCAAAGAATTCCACTTACGAATAGCATAGAATTCCACTAAAAACTCGTAAACGATGCCATTGAGTCTAACGCTATGTGTGGGCAACGCTGCAATACTCCTCATAATGTGCAAAGGTGAACAAAATATATTTATTATTGTTCTTATTTCCAGAGCGCAACATCCCAATCTAAACACGCGGCGCGCTTCCTCCGGCTCGCTATGGCTTCCATCATGGACATCCTGAAGATCAAGCCGTTCGTAGAAGTGTCCGTGGGGCAACTGCTGTGGGGTTACGAGGACCCCCTGCTGAAGCTGGCCAAAGATGTGGTGCCGAAGGAGCAGAAACTGCCATACGAGGAGTTTGGGCTGTTTTATGGAGTAAGTGCAATTCTCTCGTTTTCCTTTCGGTCTCAATGTTCATCATCAGCCTATTGATGTCCCCAGTACTGGGGCACAGGCCTTCCCTATGGATGTTGATGGAGTTTGGGCCATGACCCAGTGCGGATTGGCGGGTGCTAACGACTGCAGATGCAGCCGGGACTAACGGCTTAACGTGCTTTCCGAAGCACGGAGGAGCTGGAGATAGTGAATTTTGAGTCACCTATCCAATGACCGACCACTGCGAAAGTTGCTTAACTTCAACGATCGCTACCCACCCGCGCCATCGGGCTCCTCATTATGCTAATATGTAATAATACCTACATTATTCCGTGATAATGACACTCGCAACCAGCACCGTCTTTGACCTATTGGAAGCCCGGGGCATAGGATAATGGGGGATAATGAAAGCCGTTTGGTGATTGAACAGGAACTAGGAACTTTGTATTTGATCTGAGGGGGGCCCCTATCGATCGCGGGGCCCTGGGCACTTGCCCAAAGTGCCCACTGGGAAGGGGTCTGCTCGCAGCAGTATCGAAATATTGAAAATGATGGCCTTATCTTCTATTCCATCCATAAGGAAGACATTTGTTGACGAAATTATCTTCATATCTTCTTTAATTATTAGCAGTAGTGTCTATCTCATTTTAGTAGTAACTAGCGGCCCGCCCTCGCTTCGCTTCGGTGTAGAGCTGAAGTGTAGACTACAGTTTTTGTTCTCAGACTTGTGTTATACATAATGACATTTATCTATGATTCTTCTTATACCTGCATGCAAAGTCTCAGCCCGATCGGTTTAAAATTGACAAAATTTTATACAAACTTTCATTCCCTATTTTATCCCCTTGGGGGTAGAATTGATCAAAATCCTTTCTTGGCGGATGCCTACGTCATAACATCTACCTGCATGCCAAATTTCAGCCCGATCCGTCCAGTGATTTGGGCTGTGCGTTGATAGATCACTATGTCAGTCAGACAGTCACCTTTGAGTTTTATATATATATATATGGATTCTACTGTGCATACAGTAATGGGTATAGGTAATTAATATTATATCTTTGTCTGTTCCCAGAAAAACGGCACATCCCCAGATCCAGTAACAATGTTCACCGGAGCACTGGACATGACGAAATACGGCATAGTGGAGCGGTTCAACCATCGCGATCGTCTGCCGCACTGGACCACAGACCAGTGCAACAGCATCGCTGGATCTGACGGGTCCATCTTCCCGCCGCATATCACTAGGAACGATACACTTGGAGTATACGACAAGGATTTGTGCAGACTGCTGCCTTTACAGTGAGTGATTATAAATATAGTCAGCTTAGGGTTAGGAGAGAATTGAAGCTAGTTATATGTTTTTAAGGTGCTTCGGGGTAAGATATGTAATCGGGGCATACTAGGATGATTAGTTTTAAGCGCTTTGCAGACGACGGGGCGGGGCGGGCCGGTCAATTTCGCCGCGAATAATAGCACAAAGTGAATCCTATACTACAAACGCACACAGAGGGCAAAAAGACCGCGCCTTGGGTGCTCGGCGGGCACTGGCGGCGCGGCATGTCCGCGGCTGCCCGCCGTGGATCATACAAACCAGTTTATATGCAGTAACGCAGACGGCGGCGCGGGGCGGTCAGCTCAGTCCGCGCCGCGCGCTTATTAGTGATGGACTATTCACTAGAACGAACGTCCTGAACTGACCGCCTCTGCCCGTCGTGTGCTTTGTGTACGCGGCGCGGGCAGCCGCAGACATCGACGGGCAGACGCGGTCTTTATTGCTTCGCGGACAAAAAGCCCGCCCCGCCCCGTCGTCTGCTAAACGCCTAAGTGTTCCAAATGAATACATTTGGCGTCGGCAGTTGGTAATTCCTACTGGACGCACTAAATTATTGAGTGAGGCTCCACTGACGCGTGCATTGCGGACAATCAACAGAATTGATGAAAAGACACACTTATTCGTTTGTGCTCTGAGCGAATTCACAAAACAAGCTGAGTGGATCATCGGGTTCAAATATTTTTTTTATTTTTCCAATGTGTTATATTATTTGTGTTTATGTGTTATATTTATAATGTATTTCTTAAATGGATGTATCTATTGCCTATAAGTATTTGATATAAGTAAATAAATAAATATTTCCAACACTCACACCAATTAGTCTAGCCCCAAAGTAAGCACTGTAAGGCTTGTGTTATGGGATACTAGGGTAACGGATAGAATACATATACTGTACAAATATATGTATATTTATATAGAAAATACATTATACATTCATCACACAAACATCTGCCCCCACCGGGATTTGAACCCATTTTTTATTATATTGTTTTAAAATTTCATGGTAACTAACATTATAGTAATATAAGTTATTTACGGGATTGTTACCATGTACCTTGTTTTTAGCGCCATGATCACGGAGTGACAGTTACACAGTGATCATGGCGCTTGCAACAGTGCCGAAGTATCGGAAACTGGCTAAAAACAAGGTACATTGTAACAATCCCGTAAATAATTTATATTACTAAAGTGAGTTATTAGTCTAAAGAAAGATTTTACTAGAAAAAAATTGAACCGGGCCAGGGGGGCGATTGCGTAACGGGATTGTTATAGCTATGGCTATTGCTTACGATTTTAAATTGTTATTCGCCGAAGGTTTTCAAGTACCATGCATATTTTCTTTAATATCCTCGATCTCAATGGCACAAGTGGTTAGCGCGTACGGCTGCGATCGTTGAAGTTAAGCAACTTTCGCAGTTCTCGGTCATTGGATGGGTGACCAAAAATTTACTATCTCGAGCTCCTCCGTGCTTCGGAAGGCACGTTAAGCCGTTAGTCCCGGCTGCATCTGCAGTCGTTAGCACCCGCCAATCCGCACTGGGCCAATCTCCCTATTCCATCCATAGTGAAGGCCATGTGCCCCAGCAGTGGGGACATTAATAGGCTGATGATGACGATGTCTCTTTTTTTATTTTATTTATAATACAATTTCAACATTTAAAAAACACACATTGATTGAATCCTAAGAATAATATACACTCACATAGCATTTAAGTTAAATATTGTTACCAACGATTTAATGGACCATTTAGTTGTCTGTAATAAACAATTTTAATAGCAATCAATCTCATTAGGCGATTGCCCCCCGGACAGCAGACGGACGGACAGACCCTTCGCTATCCGGGTGAATGCACTGATCATTAAGCTACCACAGCCCTGATGTACCAAACTACCATGATTTTTATAACTCCTTCAAAACTTATTTTATTCAGTTGTCCTAAATTGTTACCACAGATTAACACAGCTCGGTTATCACCAGACCCGTCTTTCCCAGTGGGCACTTTGGGCAAGTGCCCATAGCCCCGCGATCGATAGGGGTCCCCCTCAGATCAAATACAAAGTCCCTAGTTCCTATGTTTTTATTTATTTTTTAAGCATTTTTACTAGAAAAAAAATCCACGCGGACCAGGCAGCGGACGGGACTCGAACCCGCACCTTTCGCAATCCGGGCGAATGCACTGACCATTATGCTACCACGGCCCTATTCGCCGCGTCGAAATTTTCCTAGCCTTAAGCTGCAAGGCAGCGCCATCTCTTCGCATTGTAGGTAACCCACAATGTGAAATGAATACAATAATAATTGCTATTTCTTCTTTCAAATGTTTAATACTTGAAAAAGTATTCATTCAAAAGTATTCGACGCGGCGAATAGGGCCGTGGTAGCATAATGGTCAGTGCATTCGCCCGGATTGCGAAAGGTGCGGGTTCGAGTCCCGTCCGCTGCCTGGTCCGCGTGGATTTTTTTCTAGTAAACTTTCCCTAGTTCCTGTTAAATCACCAAACGGGGGTCATAGGGGCCCCATTATCCTAATATGCCCAGGGCCACCAATAGGTCAAAGACGGCACTGGTTATCACTACATCAACTAATGGATCCTAGCATCATCGACACCCTAATTTCTTTTTAATGTGATTTACCGCACCACGGAATTTTATCTGTGGCAGACTCACTTGGAATCGTCAATAATGAAGTTAAAAGAAAAGAAAAAAAAAATGTGTGTGTCAGCTCCGACGCACGACTGGAGTTTACTCCTTAAGTTCGATAGTCTAACCAGACGCAAAAAGAGTTTATTTAACTTAAAAAAGATTGATACTGTATGAAAGGGTAAATTAACAAATTAATGAAAATAATATACATAAATAAATATATATTTATTCATTTCATGTACATTTATTATAACTAATCGACGAAATATTTTACATTAAACTTTTTACAATAGTCAATTTCAGATGTGCATAAATATATCATTAGGAATGTTGATAAATTATGTAATTATTATTATCAGACTATTATCATTTTTTTAAATATTAATTAAATCAACATTGTCTGCATTATTAATTACAGTGACAAGTGGTTTATGGTAACTAAAATAAGACACATGGACGTTCGTAGATACGTGGTTCACGAATCTTGAAAATACCGCATTAATGGTTGTACCATACCTCGTTGTCCCCATTGCTCTATCAGAAACAATATCTAAATTCAGTTCAGATTTTAAAATTTTTATTAATGTCAATGCGTCATCTTTGTTTGTCAAAATTGCGCGACATAGGATGCGCACCAAAAACGTAACGAGGTCATTCATCGATAGATTTAACTCCTCACATTTTTCTCATACCGGGCCCCTTATATATGCAAATCGATTCTTAAGGAGTAAACTCCAAAAAACTTTATTGAAAAAAATACCAAAGTGCAAAACCTGACATCCTAAAAATATAGGATTTTGGATTTTTGTTTATAAGGAGGCAGATTTTGGTTCCTTATAAACAGGTTAATACTTTTTTTCCCCCAAAAATATAGGCTTAACCTGTGTATAAGGAGCCAGATTCTCCTTTTTTTGTGTTGGAAAAATGCATGACGCCTCCCCCGCCCCTGGGTGAGACACGGAGTTATATGGCACTCCTGTTCCCCCCAAATCCCGCCCACCAGCTCAGCCAGCCCATGCGACTACCCACTTAAAACCTAACAGTGCTTTCTCGCCTGCCGGAACGGGCATCGTGGGATCCTGGTGACTCTCCAAGACATTAGCATTAAGAAATATTTGATGGTTTCGTAATATAATATACATATGTAGTAATAATGTTTATTTCAGATCTAGATTCAAAGATATTTTAGTAACAATCAAACCTTAAAAACTATGGTATTACATTTTGTTACTCAAAGTTAATTCATATATATATACCAAAGAGTACTTAATATATACCCTCTGTGGCACCGGTCACATGGACGTGTATAAGTATGTTCCTAGTGGCACACATCGGTTTTTTCTCGATAACATCAAGAATACTGTGTACCCTTAATACGAGTTTGAGCTCACGAAAACTATCATAGTTTTCGTAATTGTGAATTAGGTTTCTGTGTTCATTTTGGTGAAAAGTAACCAAATATACTTAAAATTTAAGAAGACGCAAATGATTTAATGATAGAATTTAAACACTGTTTATTTGTATTGAAACGAAAACAATAAAATCAGTACCCTTAGTGCGAGCTCACGAAAACTATCATAGTTTTCGTGATTGTAAAACTCGTACTAAGGGTACTGTTGGCGCTCCCACGAAATATATCTCGTTTAAGAGTGTTTTATTTAACGAGTAGTGTGCGTGAAAACTTGCACGAATTGCTTTAATTATCAATTTATGTTACATTAAAAAATTTTATCTCTCACAAAAATCAACTTACATGAATCACGTTTAAGCGCACTTAGCGACATCTGTTGTAAAGAAATCAACTTACATGAACCACATTTAAGTGCACCTAGCGACATCTATTGTAAAAAAAACATTTTCTTCGCTGCTAATAAAGCTGCCACGTGGACGTCCTAGATAGAGACTTATTATTATAATACGGTAAAATAAAATATTACTATGTTTCGTCCAATATATTGAAAGTCAACAACCTTTCCAATTTCATTGTGTGTCATGATGCGATCAGCCCAAGTGTTTACCTGACGCGAGTTTAACATTTTTTAACCTTACAAAAAAAATGTACAACGCCGCTAAAGAAGTTTTCACTTCAAAAATATTTTAATTTCTTGAAGTACCTGATGAATTTGATCGAATATCTCACCATTAGGTACCTATTGCGTCGTCGGCCATGTCGAACAATGAACATGACAGGGCATGTGAATGTCAAACTTAATTTAATTCTAAAATTTAAAGGTATTTATGTCATTTTACTTATTCTATTCTAAGTCAATTTTCGTTTCTAAATATTCTCTAACTGAGTAAAAACATTTCGTTATTAGCCACATTTTAAGCTTCCTTTTAAATATAGGCAAACTTAGATCCGTTATCAAGCGTGGTAACTTATTATAGATTTTTATACAATTTGGATAGCAGTTTTTATTGTAATACTGAGTACGCATATTGGGCAACATCTATCTAGTCAGACAGAAAGTCATTTTTAAAAGTTATATAAGTTACTAGCGGCCGCCCGCGGCTTTCTACGCGTGGAGTTAATTTAAAATAAAGGTTCACTGCTCGTTCTTCGTAGGTGATAGCGTGATAATATGTAGCCTATATGTTGACCCGACTTCTTAATAATATTGTGCCAAATTTGAAGTAAATCCATGCAGTACTCTTTGAGTTTATCCCGGACATACATACAGACAAACAGATTCGTGATTGTAAGATCACATCCCAAGAATTCTTTTAAAAAAAAAATCGATACTAGGGTAACGGATAGAATACATATACAGTACATATATACTTATATATGTACTGTATATGTATTATATATATATTTATATAGAAATGTATATTAAACATTCTTGACTGGAGTACAAATGCTCGTGTTCATCACACAAACATCTGCCCTCACCGGGATTCGTTCCCGGGACCTCTCGAGTCGGCGACACCATGAAACCCGGCGTACAAACCACTCGGCCACGGAGATCGTTGGAACTTGAGTAGGTAGTTAACTGTTCTCAACGTATTATTATGGCGTGTTAAATAAACATGGGTCACGTAACGTAAACATCACGTTGCGTCACGTGAAGTATTGTTGTCATGTGAACTTGCAGATTCGTATTTCGTAAACAATCATAGTTATAAACGGTGATTTTATAATTCTTTTCGGCGATTTGTTAATTGAACATTTTCAATTTTCTATTAGTTATATCACAGATAAGGACATAGATAAAAAAATTGTGTGCACGGGAGGTACACATCTGAAGTGAAACTTCTTTTCTTATATAACCTAACATTAGGCGGTGCATAAGGCATAGGGGAATGGAACAGCGCACGCATCACTCATATATATGTTTATATATATGGTATTTATATGTTTCTTAGGTTTTCACGCACATCACTCATTAAATAAAACTAGTTTTAACGGGTTAATGCACGAACTTTATTTATTTATTGACGTTACGCAGCCTTTTCAGGTCTGCATAGTCAGAATAATGTTTTTTTTTTTTATTTAATTTGTCGAGCTACCTTCGAAAGACTTTTATTGAGCGTTCAGATATTTCATTGTAAGATTTTTAAAACTTTATTGTCTATGTATGAATTTATTAGTTAACGAGTTCTGGAGCGGAGACCGCGTCTAGGCAAACGTAGTGTAGGACGTCCTCAGGCACGATGGAGTGACGGTTTCCGCAAGGTGGCTGGCAGGAGCTGGATGCGAGTAGCCCAAGATCGATCTGAGTGGCGTGCATTTGGAGAGGTCTACGTCCAGCAGTGGACTAAGATAGGCTGTTGATGATGATGATTTGACCCTGACTATATGTGTATATGGCCGGCCGCGCCATTGAGCCCCTCACACCTTCCCACCTAATGTGGAAAACTGAAGAACTAGTCATTCTATTTTTATTTTTTAAGCATTTAACTGCTAGATGTTATTAAATCTAAAGAAAATTTTACAAGAATAATTCCACGCGGGCCAGGGCTCGCTACAGCTCGCCCTGATGGCCGTGTCGAAATAAATAAATAAATATTTCCAACACGCACACCAATTAGCCTAGCCGCAAAGTAAGCACTATTAGGCTTGTGTTATGGGATACTAGGGTAACGGATAGAATACATATACTGTACATATATAAGTATGTTTATATAGAAATACATATTAAACATCCATGACTGGAATACATCAGACAAAGTTCTGCCCCCACCGGGATTCGAACCCGGGGACCTCTCGAGTCGGCGACACCATGAAACCCGGCGTTCAAACCATTTGGCCACGGAGGTCGTCAAGAAATTAGTGTAGTGTTTCTCTTGCTGCACTGTTTATAAATTTCTTCATTGACTTTCCAGATACCTCCGCGACGTTGAATCGTCAGCGGGCGTAGAAGGATACCGCTTCACTCCACCGGAGGACGTGTTCGCGGACAATGAGAACAATAAGTGTTTCTGCCCCGCGGGGCCGCCGTGCGCCCCCAACGGGTTGTTCAACGTGTCACTCTGCCAGTACGGTGAGTATTCATTAGACATCTGAGCCTTTTTTTTAATCAAAATCATTTATTCAGTTTAGGCTGTTACAAGCACATATGAATGTCTAGAAGCTACGCCATCGGTTCGTAAATCTACGACGGGAGACCTTGTACTGAGAAGAACCGGCAAGAAACTCAGCAAGGGCTGTTTTTTTCTCCCTGTTTTATCATTTACAGAGTCGTCAAGTTGAAAGATGACTTCAGAGATGATTCATGTAGTCACCTTTCATTACATAATGTGAAATTATACATTAATTGTTCACCTGCATTTTGATTGCTGTGTCACACAGTATAAATAAATAGGAATAGCCACAACAGTAGGGCTGCCATCTCTAAAATATGGTAACCAGGATAAGACGCGTGATAACCCCGGATTTTGGAGCCCAGAACCCGGACAGACCAATAAAAAAACAGTTAAAAATGTCACAAATCAACTATTTTTTGTTGATTTAGGCAAAAGAGCTAGCGGTCTACCTGATAATAAGTGGTCACTGCTGCCCATGGACACTTGCAGCACCAAGGAAAGCTGATCTTTGTTGGAAGTCTGCATTTATGGTTACAGTGTTAGAATAGATTTATTCTATAAAGTGTTAGAAGGATTAATTGGCGACCCAAAACAGGAAATTTTTAAACCCGGACGACAAATGAAACCGCGCCCGGACGCTCCCCGGACGCCCCGTAAACTAGGACACATCCGGGGAAACCCGGACGGATGGCAGCCCTAGTCACATATGACTTTTACAGCGTCACCGGGTTTGGGGACGACGAGATCATAAGGATACCCCAAACCGAGAATTGGGGAATGCCTCTAGAGGTAGAGGGCTTGGCGAAAAAAGGTGTAATAACACCTTTCCGCCATGACGATCAGCTGTTTCATAGTGTAGGAAGACCAAAGGCGAAGATCTTCCTCCGAGCTGGGTGATGGTAGCTCGGGAGCCGCGGCCCGACTGATGGTGGTCGGGCATTGTATATATGGAGTGTTAACCTCCGAATTTCACTTGCGCGATGTAATCCAGCGTACCAATCAAGGTGAACTTGCCAGTTGCCATCCATCTAGACGAAGGATGTAATCCAAATTTTGATTTGACCTTCAACGTTTTTGGATTACGGGCGCGTGTTTACATCCGCGGTTGGAGCGCGCGGATTACAACCGTTTGGCCGGCGGATTACATCCAACCAAAGACAGTTGCGCTGCGGCAGCAGGGTTGCCAGACGTACGAGAAATCTCGTACCATTACGAGATTTAGAGGGTCTGTACGAGATTCAAGATTAACAAAAATTTCGTACACTTTTTTACGAGATTTTAACAATGTCGACTTCTCTCGTATACCTATATCAGCCAAAAAGTTAGTTTAGTTAGTAGTAGTAGTTAATATGCAAATTTATTTACTTTCTCTTATCATTAACCATCCCACATAAAACGATCGACTCGGCGCATCACTAAATGAACTACCTTATCACTAAATGAAACTTGACAACTTTGAGTGGGGAATTCCCGTTCATAATATTCTTTTGTTGTTGTCCTTATTACACTAATGTTTTGCTGTATTTGTGTGTCTCTCTTACTAAAAGTTAAATTGAAGTTAGTAGATTTTTACTTTACCGTCTGCTTTTGTTGTTGAAGTTTCACAAGTTTCCGTGTTTTGTTATTTAACGTTTTTAATTACGAAATGAGTGACAGCAGTGACAGTGAATCGTCGTCCACTCCACCTAAAAAAGTACCTAAAAAGGGAGGATGGACTGCAAAGAAAAAAGGTTGAGACACTTTTGAACATCATGCCCAAAATTTTCGGGATGAGTGGTTAAAACATCCGATGTTTAGAGACTGGTTAGAGCTGGCTCTAACCGGTTGGCCAGTTTTGCCCTAGCAGTCTTGGCTTTGCCTCATGCAAATGCAGACTGTGAGCGAGTATTTAGTAAGACTAACCTAATAAAATAGATTTAAGAAATCGTCTTATCACAGATACAGTAAATGGTACACTTTTAGCTTCCGAAAGCGCTGAAGGCCCAACTCGCAAAGGTAATTGCGTAAATTTCGAACCATCAAAAGAAATGTACGCCAGAATAACAGCTGAAAAGCTATACTCTAAAAATAAAGATGATTTTACTAACATCCCTGATGTCGAATATAATTAATAAAAAATATGATTTTTAATTGTATTGTTTGAATTTAACAGCCCCAAACACAAAGAATATGACTACACAAGTTACATAGTACAGTAAATAGCATAAAATCATTAATTTTATTTGAGTTTCTTTAAATTTATGCTTTTACGAGATTATCTGTTGAAATTACGAGATATTTAGCAACCCTGGTACGAGAAAAAAAAATGTCATCTGGCAACCCTGTGCGGCAGTCAGCAGGTGCACACATATGCACGTAAAATATGTCGTCCGAAGACCAGAGTCGCGAACGCGATATTACTAGCGAACTAATTGATCTCTATAGAGATCTCCCATGCTTATGGGACATTACGTCGGAACCATATAAAGATGCTCGTCAAAAAAAAGCGTGGTAGATATTACTCGAAAAGTATAGGGAGTTGGATATAAGTTTAAATGGCTGAGAATCATTCACTCTTTTAACCAACGTTTCGTCCATCCATTTTCTCTTTTTGTGTTGTTTTTCGTCGTCTATTGCACACAAAACTCCTAAGGCAAGGCAATGCCCATTTTTTGAAATTAAGACAAATTTGGAGCCATTTCTACAACATGGTTACTAATACAGTCCGCGCATGATACAAGTGCATACGTGTTTTCACGCCAGAAGATGGCTCGCGATCAGTGTTTCCACTTTAAAGATTTCCTTTCCCCACGCCTCAATTCAGATTTCCCCTTCTTAGGACATTTTTCCCCTCAAAAAATATTCTGCTGTAGTTTTTAGATTTGGCACTAGTGTAGTAACTAAAAAAAAGGTCTTATACTATCTTATTCTATAACAGATAAATAAAATATATAAAATCTGCACGTGTTGCCACAGTTTTTTTTTATACGGCAACACTCTAGTCCACGTTATGGTCCATAAAAAATTTGTTCCGTGCCGCATTATTTTAGGCTATGCTTTACCCATAATTTCCGGCAATTTCTTTTCATGTCTTTCCCCTTTTTCTTCCCCTCTTGACCCTAATTTCCCCTTAAAAGGGGAATTTCCCCTCATTGTGGAAACACTGCTCGCGATTGCGTGTTGGCGCCGCCATCTGAATATGTCGTCTCTATGTCGTCATGTATGGGTTAAATATAAAACGGTTGCGTGTTGGCGCGTGGATTACATCCGTGTAGACGAAAATCATAACGCTGATGGAAACCAACTTCCCACCAACGTCACCTTGGTTGGTATGCTGGATTACATCCGTTTAGGCTTCCGGCTTTATTGTTCGCAGTGCTGGTAGCGCCATCTCTTGAAGAGGCGAGTAATTATTTCCTTCATTCGTTGGTTTTATTATGTGGGGGCATGTAGATGTCGCCGCCAAAATAGCATATTGTGTGTGTTATTCTGTAGGTACCCACTTATAATTATGTTTACCGAGTGGTCCATGACACTCGCGTTCAGGGCTTGTTTACCGGTGAATATTCGAACCTAAATCAGTGTCAAGTACATTAGGAGCGTTTTATTTAGGTTTGGCTCTACCTTAACTTAAAAAAAACGGTTTTCCTAAAAAGCGAAATCAAATAGGTTTTGAATCAATTTAGCGGTTTTTAAAGGGTTAATTCGCTCTTACTGACGGCTGAAATAAATACACAACTACAAAATGAATAACTTGACTCACTAGACGCTAGCAAACGTGTCAATAAATGCATCAATCTCTGAGCATTAACAAGTTGCGACTTGTTTAGTTCAAACAAAACAAACTTTAAGCGATGCGGACGCGTGCACGTGTCGCTCTAGATTAAACTGGTAAGGTTTTAGGTACCGCTTTCATTTCGGACGCGCTCCGAACCAAACTAAAAACTAAAAACCGGTATTAACCTATATTTCCTGGTATTTTTAAACCGGTTTCAAGCCCTGCGCGCGTTTCCTGTTTTGTATTAAAATGTATTAACTATAGGTACATATTTTCCCCCCAGACTCCCCCATTATGCTGTCGTTCCCGCACTTCTATTTAGCGGACAAGAGCCTCCTGGACGCGGTGGAAGGCATCTCCCCACCTGACCCGGAGAAACACAGGCTCTTTATCGACGTGCAGCCGGTGAGTCATTTAAATTGGGAATAATAAGTGATTAAAAGAACACGTTATAGATATTTTATTTTTGTTGAAGTGAAATTTCATTTCGGACGGGGTGTAAATGAAAAATCATATTTCATTTCATTTATAATTTTTGTTCGATATATCAATATTTTTAGCCGATATATTTTGATTCGATATATCTATACATCATAACCAATATCGAAGTTCGTATCAAAAACGATATTTTTTTAATTATTAGCGGCGAACGCTCGATTTCTACTAATTTTCATTCGACATAATTAAATCCGTATTTTTGAATCGCTCGAGTGCAACGAATGGGTGAGACCACTCGTTGCATGGCGAATGGTGGAGGCGAATGATAGAATAATTGTCAAAGGACAATGTTAAAATTGGCCTAAGAACCAACACCAATTTGGCATTTATGATAATTCTTAGTATATTTTTTGCGATAATTATCAGTATTTAGATTGTGACGGACACTTCCAGTTAAGTAAGCTAAATTAAAAAGTTACAAAATAATCTGAGACAATAAATACCATTTTATGTGTTTAATCTATGTCAACGCTGCAAATAAAACACTCTTTCTTCCTAATAACGGCACTTCACTTGGCTATTCGTATTTGTTATTTTAAAACATGACATCAGTCTGTCCTTTTCATTCCTTATTAAGCATGACAAGGACAAACTGTTGTCAAGTGAAGGGCCGACATAAAACTCGTTACTCTGTGGTTCTGGTGCATGCAGTTGCATTCGTAGTAATCTGTGGCCTTCGTGCATTCCAAACCATATTGATTCCAAAGAGTAGTTTAATAAACCGGCAAGTGCATTCTCGTTTCGGATTACCTGTTCTGTGTGTTTATTTGCGATTGTTTTTCCTTTAACTATTTCGGCTATCTAATATGCCATCGATGTTACCAAAGAGCACTGATACACATTCACGCTGCATATTTACACAATATACCTACATGTCATATACAAATAAATACAATAAACAATATGATACAACTATGTGAAAAATAGTCAGTAAATAAGAAGTAAAACTACAGTTTTTATTTTATTCATGATTCCTACCTAACCAAGTTTTTCTAATAGTTATTCTTTAAAATCGCACCGAATAAAATGAATTAACTAGGTGTAATTATTAATTCACTTCATACTGACTTTATACTAAATTCATAGGTTGACCTATGTTTCATTGAATATTAAACATAACCTCAAAAAAAATTTAGTTTTCCTAATAATTGAAGTTCTCAGAAGTGTCCGTCAATAATCTTTGTTTTTACAGTCATTTACTTACGATTTTGAACCTAGAAAATAATATTTCGTGATTGTTGGTTCTTAGGCGAACTATGTATGGACGCTGAACAATGTCCTTTGTGTCAGACGTCAGGTAAGTGTCAAACTTATACTTATTAAGATTTCTTGTGTGATTGGATTTAGCCACTGAGAAAAATTAAACTATTTGTAACTGTTTTGAAATGACCAACGGTGTTGTGACGTTTGAATTTTTCTAATGCCGGCACTTCACTTTGCTATTCATTTTGCTATTAGACGACGATAATAATCTATCCTTGTCATGCTTTATATGAAACGACAAGGGCAGACTGATGTCAAGTTTCTTCTTCTTTTATTATGGCATGACGGCTAATGCATGTCAAGTTTACAAACAGCAATCACGAACAGCTAATTGAAGTGCCGGTATAATAAACAACAAAATACAATCGTATTATACAGCCATGAACTAAGATGTTTTCGTTCTGTTTTCATTGCGGTAATTACCGGTTTTTATTTTTTCTGCGTGTAATGAATAAAATTTTATATTATGTATTAATCTGGTAACATCGGTGACGAACGATTCAAAAATACGGAAAATCAGTATCATGCGACTTGAGAGTCGAAGGTGACTTATGTCGCATTCGACGATACCATGTCAGACGAGTGATTCAAAAATAGAGCTCCTGGTGTCTTGTAGAACAGGTTCATCCTATTGCAAGCACCAGTCTTCACATTAAGTAATGCAATATTGTAATTAAGCACTTTATTGTAAATATTTCTTTTTTCTACTTATGTGAAGAAATAAATAAAGAATTTATTCCATCCATCCATCCATCAGCCTTTCTCCGTCCACTGCTGGACATAGGCCTCCCCCATAGAACGCCACAATGCGCGGTCCTGCGCTATCCGCATCCAGCGGCTCCCAGCACATTTGACGATGTCGTCAGTCCACCGTGCTGGGGGCCGCCCCACGCTGCGTCGTCCGGTACGTGGTCGCCACTCGAGGACCTTTCTTACCCAACGGTTCGCTCGAGGATCTGACATCCTCGAGCGATGTGGCCTGCCCATTGCCACTTCAGCGTGCTAACTCTTCGGGCTATGTCGTACACACCGGTCCGAATTTATTATTATTATATTATTACAGTCCATCAAATCTAAGAAGTACCGTTTGACAGTTCTGACAAATTGAATAATAGGGATGGGTTTTAAAAAATCGATTACTATGATATCTGAATTTTAAGAGATCGATTACTATAATATCCGAATTTTAAGAGATCAATGACCATAATATCCGAAATTTAAGATATTATTTCCCTGTACTCTTTTCCTATATTTTTTAAATATGTTATTGTAAAAGGTTGTTTATTGGTAAATTTAGGTTTTACTAGTAATCTGAGGATAGAATACCGAAAATATCTTAAGGTTCTAAAGGTCGAAGTCGAAGCATTTAAATAAAAGTAATGTTTAGGATATTTTTTTATTCACTACAAGTACTGGAATCATTGTCGTCCTCGTCATCATCGTCATTTAAATGAATGACTAGTTGATTATCCATGAAACCATCGAATTTTACGTCTCTGTTGAAGTCGTCCATTATTATTTTCTTTGTTTTTTCTACTACTTTTGACCAATCTTCTTGTGTAACTTGCGCACATGCTTCCTTTAATAAGCCTTCCATTTTCTTGACACTGAAGGGTGGTTTTGTGTTGTGTCTTGCTGCATAACCTGTAAAACAATTATATAATTATTAGGTGGGAGACTTACACTATTTTTTAAATTATAAAAGCTAGAGGCACTTGTGTTATGTGGCTACAAAATGTGTTAAGCTAATCTTGCTATATTTTGTTAGGTAATGTACAATTTAACACAACTGCGAAGAAGAAGGGTAATGTTTTACAGTATTACTGTACTTAACGGAAAATCTCAATTCACAATATATTTCAGCTTATTAAGAACAAGTTCTTGTTATTAATATAATCAACTACTAAAAAATATTATTATATTATAAAGTATTACCTTTAACTTGGGCCCAATTCAGTTCAATGGCATTATATTGGCAATGGTACGGAGGAAGTCGTATGACTTTGTGCCCGTGTTCTTCGGCTAATTGGTCAATAGCATAAGTCGGTCTTGGTGGTTTATGCAATTTCACTAAATGTAACCATTCAACTTTTAATAGTGACATGTCGGCTTCCACTCCTTTTCTTTGCAGCCACGCCACCAAATCTGCTTTCTTATTGGCTGATGTTGGTACTTTATCAATTTGCACAGAGTGGTATGGGGCATTATCCATTATAATTGTGCTGTTAGGAGGGATATTCGTTAGTAAATTTAAGAACCACTCTTGGAACCTTTCCGCGTCCATTTCTTCATGATACTCTTTTGTGCTTTTAGATTGGAAAGCTAATAATGAATTTTCCACGAAACCTGCAGACGCTGATCCAGCATGGCATATAATGACCTTTCCCTATCGGCACTTTCGAGCACGAAGCTTCAGAATCATCTGTCCATGTTTTCGGCACAGAGAGGTTGGAATTTAGCCATGTTTCGTCCAAAAATATTACATTATCCCAGTTTATAATTTGTTTTACTTCGCGCTGGATTGTTAGTCGCTGCATAATTATGTCATGTCGCTCCATAACAATTTTTCGTTTGTCAACTTTTTTGTATCTGAAGCCAATTCCTGTTATTATCGTTCTCAACGACTCTATGCTTCCCTTGCACAGCCCGGCATCTTCTAAAGTTGCACATAACTTTGCCAATGTTGGAAATTCGCCTCTTGTAAAATAACCATAGATATGGTTTCTAATAGCATGGCTATCGAAGTCATCGATACCTGTCACAGGTTTAGTTCTTTTCCTTTTTTTCGGCGTGTGAAGTACGTTACTGTCACTCCCCGAAGGCCCATATTTTTCACTTAATATTTTGCCGACGGTGCGGCTACCAATACCGATAGCTTCACCGACGCGATCCCGATCTTGTGTAACTGGCAGTAGAGCTCCACCATTTTGACATTCACGCTCAAAATACTCGTGTCATTTCACCACCAATTCACGAGCCTGGCTGTTCAAAGTACGTCCTCTTTTGGACATTATTAATAAACACTTGCTTAGTTCAGAGTCCAGAAAAGTAATAGCCAAGTCACAAATTGTAAAACACAAACGAGAAAGTAGTTACGCGCACAGTCAGCTTCCAAGATGGCGAGAGACTGCTGACGCGGGCGAGGGGGACCGCGTGCGCTTGTGGTCGGCAGTGTTGTCTGATAAAAAAATCTTTTTTCTGGAGCTATTTCGCCTATATAGATTTATTTGAAAATAATTAAATTAATTTATTTTAGGGTACCTATGTATTAAATGCATTATGCGATCGAGCAGTAACGTGAATTTATACAAAAAATAAATTGCGCTCTACCTCTAAACATTACGTCGAAAATTCGCTTTCTGGCCGTGATCTGACATTGGCCATAAGCGCTTCTAGCGCTTACAACATCGTAATCTGAGTAGATTATGGACCGAGCCATCAAATTTGATCATTTTGTCATCTGTCATGTATTTTTACAAAGTCATTAATTGATAATTTGAAAGTAATAAATTCGATTTTCCGAATAATGTACACGATTTTTTCGTACAAAATTGATTCCGAAGAGTCGCAACACTACGAGCAGTGACCTAACTATGTGACTTTGCAATGAGGTCAAGAATAGAACTATGAGAACTTATTTATTGTGTAAATATTGTTTATTTTGCTTTGTTTGAAAGTTTTCAATTAAATTTAGATATTAAGAATTGTACATTTTCAGATCCAATAATAAAACCTTTATAAATTCATGGTTTTACGAAAAAGGTTATAGAATTTGAATAAGTTACGCTTAAACAAAGTTATATCTGTTTGAAAAACATGAAACGTCAAACGGTACTTGTTAGATTTGATGGACTGTATGTACCTTTATAAAAAAAATAAAAAAAACATTATTTTGTGTTGCAGGAGATGGGTATAGCGATGCGAGCTCGGGCCCGCATCCAGATCAACCTGGCGGTGTCGCAGGTGGTGGACATCAAGCAGGTGGCCACCTTCCCTGACATCGTGTTCCCCATACTGTGGTTCGAGGAGGTCAGTCACTATATTAAACAAAGTCATAATTTTTATTATTTTTAAAAGCATGTAACTGCTTGATGTTTAAATCTAAAGAAAATATAACTAGAAAAAAATCCACGCGAACCAGGCAGCAGACGGGACTCGAACCCGCACCCTTCGCAATCCGGCCGAATGCACTGACCAATTATGCTACCGCGGCCCTCACGGACTGCGTTGAAATTCTTCTAGCCATTCTTAAGCTGCAAGGCATTATTTGACGTTGTGGGTTGCCTATAATGCGAAGAGATGGCGCTGCCTTGTAGCTTAAGAATGGCTAGAAGAATTTCAACGCAGTCCGTGAGGGCCGCGGTAGCATAATTGGTCAGTGCATTCGCCCGGATTGCGAAGGGTGCGGGTTCGAGTCCCGTCTGTTGTCTGGTCCGCGTGGATTTTTTCTAGTTATATTTTCTTTAGATTTAAACAAAGTCTTTATTTTGTATATACATACTAGCTGTCCCAGCGAACTTCGTACCGCCATAAAAAAATAGGGGTTGGTGGTAGAAGGGTGAAAATTTAGGGTTGTATGTATTTGTGTATAATGTATCATAATTTTTTTTTTTTATCTAAAATTGAAAAAAAAAATTAGGGGTGGATTAGCCTTAACATTTAGGGGGATGAAATACGGATGTTGTCCTATTCTCAGACCTACCCAATATGCACACAAAATTCCATGAGAATCGGGAAAGCCGTTTCGGAGGAGTTTAACCACAAACACCGCGACACGAGAATTTTATATATTAGATATATTCAGGTAGGCAAATGACTCTACCCCACCTGGGAGCCATTCGCCTAACGGAAATGCTTTGGAAAACGCTAACGCTTACGATTTCATTTTGGTATTTCTAGCCGCCTGAGGTTTTCAAAAGCCTCGCGCTCTTTTTTTTCTTTTGCATTGGTAATATTAAAAAAAATACCGTGAATAAAAATATCTGAAAACCTTCCGCAATCAGAAATAACAAAATTAAATCGAAAGCGTTAGCGTTTTCCAAAGCATGTCCGTTAGGCGAATGGCCCCTGATGTTAAGTGGTGATAAAGTCCAAACGCGAAGATAGCTGGTACAGCAGTTATACACTGCCACACCAGCCATCCTCATCTTGCCAGCCTGTAAGAATGCTTCTTCACTTCTTCAGTTTACAACTCTGCGATGATGCGAAATTTTGCATGTAACCTACTAAATAATTTTATGTGAATGTAGTATTTTTGTTTTTAAAGAAAATATAACTAGAAAAAAATTCAAAATGCCCCCCTTACAGGACTCAAACTCGCATCTTTTGCTATTCGGGCGAATGCACTGACTATTATGCTACCGCGGCCCTGATGGCCGTGTCGAAATTTCTCTAGCACTTTTCTTTTCCAGCCGCGGTAGCATAATGGTCAGTGCATCCTGGACAGCGAAGGGTGCAGGTTCGAGTCCCATCTGCCGCCTGGTCTGCATGGCGTTTTTTCTAAAAAAAAAATCTTAAATTTAGTTAACACATAAATTTTATTATAAACATATTGTCACAGTCTTCTTCAGATAAATAATCTCGCACTTGCTTCCTATAAATAATGAATAAATCGATTGTTTCATGATTGTCCACAGGGTATCGACGAGTTACCGGACCAAGTGACGTCACTCCTTCGTTTAGCGACTAAAGCTCCGCCCGTCGCCCGCGCCGCTCTAGGATGGGGACTCACCGCGTTGGGAGCCCTGCTACTACTACTGGCTGTAACTTGTCTTATACGGTGAATATATACAGCATCTCTTATCTATTAGACAAGTCCGTCCGTCCGTCCGTCCGTGGTGCTGTTTCAGCGGCCAAACCGTAAGAGATAGATAAAGAGAATGTTTAAGTTCTAAGTTAAGAATAGTCTGATAAGACTACAAACCGGATTTGAGTAACGTAGCACTTCCGGTTTTCGAGAAATCACGAATTTCAAGCGAAACCACACAAAATCTCCGAAGTTCTCAATTAATTGAATATATATATATATTTTTTTTGGTGAACTGTTGGTTCACTGGTTTGCTAGTTATTACTATAACAGTGCGAAGACCCGGTCTACACACGACACGATATACCAGGTACACTCGCGGAAAGACCCACTCTGTCACCCATAATGCCATAATGGCTTGCGGTAGCGGCGTAGTAAAAATTCATTCATCGACATGTAATTATCGCTGCCTTACTTTTTCGTATAGCGCTGTCGCGATCACGATGCGGATGACAAATTGCAACTAAAACAAATGCAATTCAATTCATTATTCGATCAATGAAATGCTCTCTGTCTTACTTTTGTGCGGCGGCCCGGATTGGCGCGTCCGCCGCGAAGGCGGGGCGTAGTAAAAACTACTGTAGAAAACCGTTCAAAGCATTTTGTTCGCCAAGTGACAGAGCGCAAAATTCCGCGATAGTACGTACCGGGGCGTTTTTCCCCGTCCCCCATGACAACGGCTAACTAGAGCCGAGGTCCGAGTCTCAGACGCCCTCTAGTTGACCCGACCCCCTCAGGTGCTCGTGGTGTAGAGGCTCCAGACGGAGTGGAGACTCTCCCCGTGGGGAGATGCCATCCGCCTGGAATACCTCCAGAGGCACTCGTCAATTCTTGGCTTGAGGTCCCCTTAGGATCTCGCCGTCCCCAAACCCGGTGACGCTGTAAACGTCATCTGCGACCAACAGCATACACACTAAAAAAAAGGCATTATACAGTGGTATGGTATTTTACTTAATATGTATCTTTATTATTTATATTCCGTCTAAATTAAAGATATTCGGACATTCGGACAACTTAAAGAGCTAGATTGAATGACATTTCTCCGGCATCATTTTATGAAAGTCAAAAACTATAGGTAATATGCTACCAAATTTTATCCAAATCAGTCGAGTAGTTTTTAACAAACATCTTTTAATTTGTGTAACAAACCTCTTTAAATTTGTGTAACAAACATCATTTCATTTGTGTAACAAACCTCTTTGAATTTGTGTAACAAACATCATTTATAATTAAAGTAGAATAAAACTATTTTTTACAGGCTCAATGTACTAAATTTATTTATTTTTAAACGTCAATAAATAAATAAATTCAGTACATTGGACCCGTAAAAACTAGTTTTATTTAATGAGTGATGTGCGTGAAAACCTAAGAAACAAATTTATAGTAGAATAATTAATACAATAGGGATGATGACTATTTTGTTTTTCTTCGTTTATCAGGTAGATTATCAAAACGTATTGGACACGTATTTTTTCTTTTTTCACATAATATAAACATTGCAGAATTATATTGATTTTGAAAAGTCGCATGACGTCACGTTTGAGTACACAATAAAGTCAGTAAATTCACTCAAAAGTGATGTCACGAGCCCCTACTCCCAAACTTTGATGCGCTATAACTTTGTCATTTTTTGGTTGATTGCTCAAAGAAAAAATATGTGTCCATTATTTTTTGATCGTCTAACTGACGGACTGAATAGAATTTCGTTTACTGTACCCCGTCATCACCCCTATTATAAATGATGTTTGTTATACAAATTAAATGATGTTTGTTACACAAATTAAATCATGTTTGTTAAAAACTACTTGACTGATTTGGATGAAATTTGGTAGCATATTACTATAGTTTTTGACTTTCATAAAATGATGCCGGAAAAATTTTATTCAACCGAGCTCTTTATAAGTGGTCCGGATATTTTAAATTTAGATGGAAAAAAATAAAGCTACTTATTAAGTAAAATACCGTACCATTGTATAATGCCTTTTTTTAGTGTGTATGCTGTTGGTCGCAGATGACCTTTACAGCGTCACCGGGTTTGGGGACGGCGAGATCCTAAGGGGACCTCAAGCCGAGAATTGTCGAGTGCCTCTAGAGGTATTCCAGTCGGATGGCATCTCCCCACGGGGGGAGTCTCCTCTCCGTCTGGAGCCTCTACACCACGAGCACCTGAGGGGGTCGGGTCTACTAGAGGGCGTCTCTGAGACTCGGACCTCGGCTCTAGTTAGCCGTTGTCATGGGGGACGGAGAAAAACGCCCCGGTACGTACTATCGCGGAATTTTGCGCTCTGTCACTTGGCGAACAAAATGCTTTGAACGGTTTTCTACAGTAGTTTTTACTACGCCCCGCCTTCGCGTCGAACGCGCCAATGAAGGAAAAAATACGTGTCCATTAGTTTTTGATCATCTAACTGACGGACTAAATAGAATTTCGTTGACTGCACCCCGTCATCACCCCTATTATATTAGAAAATAATTTAACATACATATTAATGTATAATCTTCCCCGCAGATCTTCGCATCGCCAAAGCACACTAAGACTGGAGGGGCACGCGGTCGCCAAACCGCCGCCGGCCAAGACTCCCAGCAAAGAAAACGGATACGAACTCAACAGCAGAAGATAACTAAACACACAAACTCCATTGTAAAATAAATAAAACCCTAACGTCACCCCCCCCCCCCAACCCCCCCCCCCCACTCCTCTATAGTAGGTATGACGTCTTAACTTTTCTCTCTTCGTCCATCAGTTTGATTATCAAAAACATGTACATGTGGACACGTATTTTTGAAGCGAAACTTCCTTTCGGGCGGCGTGGAAATGGAAAATCCTGTGGAAAAGATGAAACGGAAATGCGTCACGAGCGTCACACTACTATGTACATACAGGGTGTGACAAAAGTCCGAAATAAAACTTTAGGGTTTGGTTGTGTTCCTTGTATAGAATTACCTACGAAAGTTTGACGCCTCTGAGACCACTTTTATTTTCTAATTAAATTAATAAAAATATCGTTTTTACGCCTTCCTATGGCAACCCTATAAATGCGTACGATTACTACTACCTAAACAGACCCCCCTCTCTCCCCCAGGCGTCCCTGCGCCCCGCTCAGATACCTACAAATTTTTAATTCGGAATACATACCTACAAATTTTATTTCGGAATTCTGAAACACCCTTTATATATGTGTGTGTGTGGGATGCGTGCGCAGGTCTTCCCGACGCACATGAAAGTTGGAGGGTTACTCGGCGAAGGCTGAAATGCGTCACGGGCGTCACACGCGACAATATATATATATATATATATATATATATTTATATATGTCCTCCATTCCCCTATGCCTTATGCACCGCCTAATGTTAGGTTATTTAAGAAAAGAAGTTTCATTTCAAATGTATTCTCTGTGTACACAATTTTTTTTCTCTTCGTCAATCAGGTTGATTACCACAAAGTATTTGAGACGTTTGTTTTTCTTTATTCACATAATTATAACATTAGAGAGGTATATCGATTCGAAATGTCACATGACGTCACGCCTTGGTACAATTTTTACTTGAAAGCGACGTCACAAGCCGAACTCCCGAACTGAAGGCTATTCGGCATGAATCCGCCGCTAGAGGCGCTCGTGTAGCGCGAGTTCTCCGAAATGTCAAATGTTATTGCTTGTAGCTGTAGGTCGACCACGCAGGTTATTCCCAATTAAAATAATGTGAATATTTAGTAATAACTCAAGATTTAATTATGGTAATTAAGAGTTACGTGTCAATGAATGACAGTGATTTGAAAGCGGAGCTAAAGAAAATTGTTATGTCCTTCTTTTCCGAACAAAACGAAACCGCGCAATACTGTGGCATGGCCGATTATGTTTACGATACGATTCTTTTGTATTAACATATGATTTAAATGTAAACTTTGATTTCAAGAACCTTTATAAGCTATACTTCAGAACCTCACCTCAACAGTGGTGCCATCTGGTGAGACAAAAAACGGTAGCTCTCAGTTGATTGACCAAAGTAATAATTATACGTGTCCATTATTTTTTGATGATCCAACTGACGTACTTCAAAAATATTTTTTTATTTTACCCCGTCGGCATCCTTATTAGTGAATTGAATAAATGAGTTAAATAAATGACCTGCTTGAATCGGTAAATGGTTGACTTCAATTGGATCAAAGACTGTGCTCTCAACGAAAAGATATTTTTAATTATAATGTACTTACTTACACGCAATGTGTTTAGTAGTGCTTTTGTTGAATGTTATTTTTAATGATTTTTTTCTTTTTATTATTATTGATGTATATTTTTTTATGTAAATTGAAGTTACAGCCAAGTACTCATTGAAGAGTTTTTTTCTAATTTATTTACTTTATTTAACGGAATTGTTTTATTTACAAATTTAATTCTTATTTGACATACCCATAATTGCAACAACCATTGCATAATCTTTAAAAATGTATCTAGTTACTAGCATCACAATTTTTCGTCTAATATTTTTTTAAAAGGACATAAGAGGTAGTCAACAGAGAAATATTTTTCATGTACCTTACTAACCTTCTTTTATGTAAGTTTCATTTTTATCAAAATAATGTTACCAATTTTGGGACTTTTAAACGATTCTATTTTTTAATGAAATAAATATCACTTCTTTCTCATTTTTATCAGAATCTCACATATTTTTAAAGTGAATGTTTTTCTGTATTTTTTTTTACTCTTTAGCATGTCCCTTAACATTTTTGATTGTTACTAAAAAAATCAAAATTTTCTCCACGAGAATCGGTTAGTTCAGTGGTAGCAAGCTCGCCTGCTACGCGGACGGCCCGGGTTCGAATTCCTGTCGAGGCAGGACTGTTTTTTCATCAATATTTTAAAGTTTCACTTTAATCAAAATCACTCCAATTTTTATAAAGGTACATTGAATTTGATAAACTGAGTAATTTTCAGTTATGACATGTTCATGTGATTCATGTCTATAACTACTATTTTAAAAGCTTTTAGCGTAAATATTGCTTCCAACTCTGAGGAAATTTTAAGCTCGAAAACAATTTAATTGTCCGATTTCATGTTCTGTGACTTATGTGTTTCGAATATAATATTGTATATCTTTCAGGGGAGTAGGGGTGGTGTAAAAGTTACTTTTCGTGTTAATAAACAAATAATACCACGAAGACATACTTTTGAAGAATTTAAAAAGTATATAAAAGTATTTTTTCTATAGTCTTCCGCTGTATAAGGCTTTTATGCCGCATAATTATATTTTGTAGCATTTCTTTTTTTTTATTTTTCACGAATCATATACCACCTCGTTGCGTGTCGCTAATAATTTTAATTCTTAAGTCTTAAAATTGTGATAGCACTATCATTTTTATTAATTTCATAATGTTGATGAGAATACATAGAAAGTTCGATGTATGAACAAATTATTGTTAATAAATTGTAATTTTGACATTGTAAAGGATTATTAATTATACTTATATAAATTATATAAAAATTGGTTAACATTGAAGAGTCGAATGATTTTTTTTAAAATGTGACTGTTTTGTACTTTTAAAATACTGTAAATATAATTTGTCTCTTTGGGCTTAGGGATGCCATCTTTTCGTTTATTTAGTGACGATAATGTAATGAATGAACTATTTTTTTTATATTGTAACAATACCGATAGCTACTAGTCTAATCTGGGTCCGTCCAATAGGTTTATTAGGAATTTTACATATTATTATCTATTTTTTATAATTATTTTAAACTTGTCTAGTTTTAAATTTCTAGAGGAACGGTGTATTATAGGATAAGATCTTTAAAGTATATACTCGTTTTTGACACTTTAAAATCACTGGAAGATCATAAGGTTGTGATTAAAATACCGAATTTTTTTTTTGGATTTTATTACAAATAATTCTTTACTACTGTACTGTACTGTACTGAAACAAATTGTTACCGACTTTATAAATCGACTATTTTTATGATTACCTATACTAAGAATTATCAGCTATATCTCTTGTAACATCACAAAACTTTATGGATATTTTATTTTTATATTTTTCAACTTACCTTTTCAAACTTATGTGATTCTGGTGACTCGTCTATTTATTTTTAAATGGTCTTCCTAGGTAAATAAGTTCCGAATGAACTTTAAAAAACAAAAGTAGTCATTCAAATAGAGCAATATCCAAATGTAATTACTAAACTAACTGATCTTTTTAAATAGATTATACATTTAGGTGCTGAAGATTTAATAGATAGATAAAACACCCCGGCAAAGTTTTGAGCAATGACCATAGACAAGAAGCCTGCGCAGTTACAGTTACCATCTTTTGACTTTTAGCGGACTTTGTCCGGTCCTTTAAATTTTCCGGATATTCTTAAATTAGAAAGAATGTGAAAAATAAAACTTAATAATAAGTCAAATACCATACTACTGTCGATAGTAACTAAGCGAGTAATGTTTCCATATTTTTCCGCATTCTCCAGGATTTTTGACTGGAATTTTGAAATTACTAAATGGTAACCCTATGCGCAGTACATACAAAAATCAGCTAAAGGACCGAGTATCCAAAGCCAGAATAAATAAAAAAAAAATACACACAAAAATGTCTACTCCGCAAGCTTGTGTGGTTTTGCTCAAGAGTTTGTCGCTACCTATACCTACAAACTTAATTATATTGATTATTTTCTTATATACTCGTATTTCATCCGAAGTCTTCCATTCGATGTTTCTTAATGGTTAGTACTTAAATTGAACTAAGAGAAAATTGTATACTTGGAGATGCTTTTGTTTATATGGGTGCGCACGCGCGTCCTTATTGCTCAAATTCGATATTGTAACTGTGCATCACTTGATATGTGTACGTGGACCGTTGTTTGTAAATAATTAAAGGTGTAAGTTATACGAGATTGTTTTATTTTTAATGCTGTAACTAACCGTGGGTGTATTCCGAAACGTACTTCAGTATACTGGCCAGTGGTAATGACGTCACGAATCCGACGCCATCTTGTACTGGTATGCTACCATATTTTTACCGGGAAAACGAATGTGACGTATGACCGAGCGTGCGTGAGATGCATTCGAATTCTCTTTCTTTTTAAACGGTTTTTTAAACGGTTTTATTTAGCTCACCCCGTTTGTTTTATTCTTGGGTCAAATTTAGTAATTCAAATTTCACCCTCTTCCTGTCAACCGATTAATCTGAAATTTTGTATACACATTGGATTTTGGTGACAATACAATTATGTTTATTCATTATCATTATAAATTCAAGATGGCCGCCGCTACAAAATGGCGGATAATTTATGTTTTATTAATCCCATCAATATGAGTATCAAATGAAAGGGCTCAACAAGCAGAATACAATATACTATAAAAAATTGAAATCCAAGATGGCGGCCGCTACAAAATGGCGGATAACGTAGGTTTTATCAATCCCATCAATATGGGTATCAAATGAAAGGGCTCAATAAACAGAATACAATATACTATAAAAAATTGAAATCCAAGATGGCGGCCGCTACAAAATGGTGGATAACACACCCGAAAGCCATACAGTTTCCAGCTAAGTACAATTACGGGACGGCTGAAAGAAGAATGTTGCCTTTAATACTATCATGGGCTTCTACAATACATAAAATGCAGGGCAGCACTGTGGATCACGCAGTCGTATACTTAGGTGCGAAACTGTTTGAAGAAGGTCAAGCCTACGTGGCTCTTAGTAGAGTAAGATCTTTGCAGGGACTACGTATAGAGGAGCTGGACTGAATTAACTAACGGGCAAGAAACCTTGCAATAATGAAGCACTAAATGAATTAAACAGAATGCGAAATAAAAACTAAAAACTAGAAAATAAAAATAGGTAAAAAAACTTTTTAAGTTAAACGGTTTTATGTTAAACATACATTGCAATGTTTAAGATAAATGTACTAAAAACCAAAAAATAATAAAATAGATACAGTCGTGGGAATTATAAACATATGCATAGACTAGACTAAAATAAAAACGTGGGGCACGTCAATTGTCTACAATCGTTGATTAAAATGTTTGTTTTGTAATGTTACACTATAATTAGGCAGTTGTTCAACCGACAATGATGGACGTGTGATAAGTAGGGCTAGAATGTGGAAACAAGCTAGCAAGCTCGATTATAAGCGAGTTTTAGGGTTTCATAGTGGTGAGCGAGTAGTACTTTTATCATATGTTTTGTCGATTAAAGACAAACTACGAGCAGTGAAACGATTCCTCGCCAGCCAGCAGTGTGAATGTCCAACGATAAACTAGTTGAAACATCTCTTTTATTTACATGGAGTGTATAACTATTGGAATTTCCATGAGCAAGAAAATAGTAATTTCCTCACCGTCTGCGGGCCAACAGCCTAACGACGAATTAAACTATTCTTCCATCGCACATTAAGTCGATAATTTGTAGACAATTGACGTGCCCCACGGTTTTATTTTAGTCTAGTCTATGCATATGTTTATAATTCCCACGACTGTATCTATTTTATTATTTTTTGGTTTTTAGTACATTTATCTTAAACATTGCAATGTATGTTTAACATAAAACCGTTTAACTTAAAAAGTTTTTTTACCTATTTTTTTTTATTTAAAGAATAATAATGGCATCAGAACTAAAAGAATTCCGTTCCATAGTGTCGTCGTTCCATAGTGTAATGTCGTACGGA